TCTAAAGCTTTTTAATGCCGTGACCCCCAACCGTCGTAAGTCGAGGACTACTCAACTGGTCATAAGTCAAGGACTAAACCAGTCATAAGTTGAGGACTACCCAACCGGTTGTAAGTGGAGGACTTTCCCTGCCCGGGAGCACCGCACATGCGTGGCCGAGGCGTAGCTGGCAAGCGGCAGAGATGGAACAGGCCGACCACCGACTGGGCCACCAGCTGGCCCAGCCCAAGGGAGGTAAGGCATGCGCACCAGCAACTCTCCCTGAGCCTGCCAGCCTCCCACCCTTGGCCCTCATTTACTTATATTTTTAGTAGTTGCGCAGCAGGGAGGGGTGGAAACTTCCAGACAGCTCGCCTTCGCTGCAGACAACTTGCAGCACTGTTTGCAGAATGGGACTTTTGGCAGGCTCAGCAGGGCAGAGACAGCCTGGACAATTCCTATTGGCTTTTGAAAGCCAATAGAATTAGACTCTATTCAAGAGAGTCTATTCTATTGGCTTTCAAAAGCCAATAAAATAAAAGGGAGTAGCACAGCTAAGGAAAAGGAAGAAAAAAATGGCGGACTGCGTTGTTTGGTGACCCCCGTGAAATGGTCATTCGACCCCAAATGGGGTCCCGACCCACAGGTTGAGAACCACTGCCTTAGAGCATCAAAGGCAAAAGTTCAATGAGACTTATTAAACTATTGTATAATTTAGCTCTGGCATTATGTTTTATTTATTTATTTTAAAAAGCTTTGCTCTTTGGGTTGACAAGTGAATATGGCCTAAACAGCTCTTGCTAACCTTCTGGTTGGCTCAGCTAGGATCACATTTATGGTAATAATTAATGGGGAATTCTGGGAGTCCACACATTTTAAAGTTGCTGAGATTGAGAACCACTTGTCTACAGCCATTGAGGAGGGATCTGCATTGGGAGGAGAAAATCAATAACATTTCTTCTTGTTTTCAACTCCTGAAATCTCTGATGTTTCATTTGCTTCCTTCTTTTCTGCGAAGGAAATCTTTGCTTTCTAAAAAGCTGCGCAAAGCACTTGAAAAGACGTCGTGTTCAGGCATGAGAAGAACACCGTTAAGGATAAACACATTTTGCCTCCCCTTTTCCCCTTGCCACACGAGGAAGGGTTTGAAACTCATAGAAAGTATATTCAAATATGTAAGTGCCCCATTCTCGTGTATATTTTAGGTTTTTTTTCCTAAATATTTTGTATAAATTTTCAGTACATCCTTAGATATACAGTAATCAATCCATTGTTCATTTCCCCCACATGGCTTTCAGCACAATGAGAGGCACTGAAAAGTAGTTTTAAAAAAGTATTAGAAATATACACTTGGGTCAAACCTTTGCCTTTTTGTATCAGGTATTATGGTTTAGGCATATGGAGAAACTGTTACTCCTTATATTTTCCCACTTGACTGGTTTAACACAAGAATCAAAGCCTTATCCTTTTAAAATGTGGGTTTTGTGGGTACACATAACAAAGAGTTGGGACTTTGATGACAAGGTCACAGCCACCATCTTGATTTTTTTTGAGCTCTTGCAGATGTTCCTCAAATAATTCCTCTGTAAAGGTGATATCCTTACCTACACGTATACGTTTCCATCAGTCTGTTTCCCTCTCAGGATAAATGCATGCTATATCAGTGCAGAAAAGGAAATAGAAAGCATAAGAAATTAATGACATAAAAATACTGGATGTCAATTCCATTCGCCATATTTCTCCATAGCTTTGTACCCTTCCAAAGCATGTGTGATTCTACCACTGCTTTATACATTACTTTTAGTTTTATAAATTTATCATGTTTTCTTGATATTCTTATTGAATCTCTCTTTTATTTGTTTTGACCCAACTATAAAATATGCTTTTATTTTATAAAAATAAAAGGCTTTCAGAAAGAGACTGGACAACTATTTATCTGAAATGGTATAGGGTCTCCTGCTTGAGTAGGAGGTTGGACTAGAAGATCTCTAAGGTCCCATCCAACTCTATTATTCTGTGTTTTATGTACTTCTTTATATGAGGCACTCACTTTTGCATTAATTCCACAACATTCATTAGCAGCCATTCATTCTCTTCTTGTTGTACTGCTCACACTTCCTAAATAATTTATTTCTAACTGCATTCTATGTACTTTTATGTTTCTATTAACATATCAATCTCACTTCCATATAATAAAATGGGTAGAAGCACCTTAAACACAGCCATTTCCACTTCTTTCAGTAAATATTGATTCCTTACAAAGGACCAGAATATATATTACACTCATAATACTTCATTTTTAGTAAACATTCCATCCTGGATGACTGAGAATCTCCATACACACCCCATCAACTAGCTTGAGGGGTTTTTTGCCCTTTATGTATAACTTAAACTGTGCTGTTCTAATAGTGGTTTCTGTGGATTATGTATGTAGACATACATCGTGACAGTTCTGCCCCATTTGAATTTATATATTAGGAAGTGTTTAAGCCAGTCAAAATAGGGTTGAACTAACTTCCTACTTCTGAATTTAAAAAAGGGACATTATTGTGTTGAACTAGCTCCTAAATTTGCATCTAAAATAATTACTTTTTTTCAAATATCAGTTGAGCCACTATCAACATATGGAATGTGCTGTCACAGTGTCATAAACCAGGTATTTCAAGAAACCTGCAGAGTCAAATTTGTAGCATATTATTCATAGATTAAGGAGGTATGCTTAATTCTGGCTTAATTAACTATATAATAAAATAAAATAACCTAAAATTCTAGGACGCTTCTATACAGGATAAAATCTATTGACATATAGTAGATGGTTTCAATAAAAACAGGAAGATAGGTAAGATCTCATGTGTTCTGCTTAAAACATACAAGTTGCTAGGGGATTGAATACTTATTTTACAAGTTTTATGCAGCTTATATTTTTCAATGCATGACTTGGGCTTTCTTTGCCCAGAGATATAAAGTTTCAGAATAGAAATGCTGAATCTTCTGACTTCCGTCTTGTTAGTCTCCCATAACAGTGCACTCTTTTTAATGAAAGCTTATCTGAATTTATTTATTAAATGTTCAGGTGCTATCACATTTTTGTGGTTTTTCATATTTCTTGCACGTGGACATGAGACAAGCATTTTGACACTTATGCACACAAACATGAGTTATATTTTAGTCAAGGCTACCAATCTATTTCTCGAATGAACTTCAAGAAATGAAGCTATATTTATCTGATTAAGATAATCAAATATCATGTATTTCCAAGAGGAAAGGATGGATCAAGGCAGGACATTCAGTCATCTGGTAATAGAGTCAGAAAATGTCCAGGTTCACATTAAAATAATATGCTATATTGGGATGAAAACATTACAAATGAAATAAAATATTCACATTTTATTGTTTTATATTTTTGTTAAATTTACTAATAACCATATATATAATTTATATATATATATTTATGGCTTTGAGCAAAGACAAAAGAAAAAAGTTTAACTTATCCCTGATTGTGCAATTATTGTAAGAATCAGTTTGATGTATTTTTTTTTTCAGCAGCAACATAATCCAACATTATTGTAAATACATTTCATCCTATACAGATGTAAGGTTCCATATTTCAGGGCTTATTTATATTCAGAGAAAAATAGGTCAATTTTCAAAATAGCAATGCATAGTCTTTATATTACAGAAATGAATGAATTGTTTTGTATACATATATGTATATGTGTGTGTGTATATGTATGTATGTGTGTGTGTGTATGTATATATATATATATATATATATATATATATATATATATATATATATATATATATATATATGAATACACACACATTGTTATATACATAATTTCAGTTTTATACTCTGTACCATTTTAATTAACTTACAAATCTTAGATTTTGCCCATTCTATTATAAAGTCATTAAAAAGTTTTTAATGGTATTACAGAAAGATCATGTATGTTAAGTTTTTGTATAGTACATAAAATAAAATAAACATATGTATAAAAATAGTTAACTACCAACTCCATTATACTCCTATCAAATGTAAACCTTGAACAGTTTTAAAGACCAGAATAAGATCATAATTGTTTGGATAAAATTTATTATCAGTATTAATATATAGTCAGGGATTTAGTGTATTAAAAATAAATGGACTTGATGTTTACCTAGAATACTTTAAATATTATATCCCTTACATGGGATTCATGACCACTCTATTTTAACTGTCAGAAGCATCATATTCATGGAATAAATGACCACATTAACTTGATTTTGAATTGGGAAGTGGAATTCAATAAAATAATATGTACTTTTCACTAATAATTATGCCTAATTCATGTAGGCACTTAAAATAGCATTGGAAGAAAAATATGTTTACAGGCAGCAGTCCAATCTGGTTTTCAGCTGCAGGGCAGAATCCAAAATAGGGAACGAGTGCCTTAAAAAAAAAACTATCATGAGACGTAGGCTCATAAGGTACTCTATTGAACTCTGCTACATACATTACATATTAAAGTAATGTTACATTGTGGATTGGAGAAAATCAGTACATTGTTGGAAAAGGTTTGGGATAACCCATGGTTTATATATTACCAATAGCTACATGACCATTCTCCTGCTTTAATAGCTGCTTCCATTAATGCCTACAAGATAGCCTCAATTGAATTTCATGTCTCTCTCAACGTATGATTATGGACAAGAGTAAACTCTGACACAGGAGTGTCAAAAGAAAAAAAAACCCAATCCAATTTACAATTTCAATCCAATGATTAAGGGAAAATGTCATATAGATATGTTCCATGATGACAACATACCCCTAAGAGCACTGGCAACATGATAGGCCATGAATGAATGGCCCTAAATCAGTACATTGAGCATTTGAAAAATACTCCTTTTGGAGGTATTTGAAGTCATAAGATGACATGACAAAGCAACTGAAAGAAAAGTTTTACAAAACCCCCACATTTGATTACAATCTCCCTTTGTTTTGTGTAGACATTAGAAGTCAAAAAGAAATAAAAATATTAATTTCTGTGTTCAATGCTATATGGTGTAATAGAGTATGTTGTTGTCCAAATTATCACATTATACACTGGAATGTGTGTTTTCCTAACAAACAGGATGCTATAATATACTTCTTTTAAAAAAAAGATTGCTACAATCAACTATAGAATTACAGTGAGGACACAGAACACATATGAAAGACTAATTGAAGCATTGTTAAAACAATTAATTCAATCAATTGAAATAAAATACTTCTAAACTTTAACTCTAGATTCAAAATCAGCATAATAGGAAATGAATTGTGAAAACCATACATTCACATTTATCAATATTCCTTTTCTCCACTTCTTCTAATATTGCTGACTGAATCTTTTAGTTGCATTGAGGACACAAGATATTTCTGGTTCATCTTTTGGTTAGTGTTCTATCCCCCGCTTTCCCCATCTATTATGTCTGAGCATGCATGGAATATTTCTTACAGTGTCCAGGACAAAGAAGAAAAAGATAATAGCGTTGCTGAAATACATATAGCAGGATCAAACATACAAATCTGCATAAAAACACTGCATGTAAAAGTAGCATTTTAGAATGCAAGCTATTGCATTACAATTATATTGTATTTTATATCTTGTAAAAATTTTTAAATGTTTACATTTTGGCATGAGTAGCTGAAACTAAATTTCTAAATAAATACTTTGCAATGATACATCACACAGGAGCTTTTTTTTTGTTATTATTACTTGGGTCTAAAAAGTTATTTACAACAAGATGAGTGAGTCTTCACTATTTACTGTTCTTACTAGTTTTTGTAGATAGTAAAAATTTCATTGACCCTCCAATCTAAGCCTTAACATAAAAGCACCAAAAAAAATAACCTGGACCTCTAAAATAGGAATTATGTTTCAATTATAGTTGACTAAGAAAGGTTAAAAAGCACTGTTTTAGAGGCGCTATTCCAAGCTAGCATGTATTCTATGCAAGCTGTTCTTATTTTCTGGCTTAGCTCCTGGAATTCATAATACTGTCATTTCTTAAAAAATATAGATTCAAATCAGGAAACTTTATATTTTTAACTAAGTTAAAAATAAATATTACAACTGTTTTTAGACTCTGAATTGTTTATAAGAAACAAAGACAAGAGACACCATTTGGATTTCTCTCTATCTTTTCCTTCTGTCTGCCTTTACAATGTACATTCAATTTTGTGGGTTAAGTTTGTCTACAATTTTCTTTTTTTATTGTAGACAGCTGGAAACTATGCAAAATTAAGTTCTAACAGGTGTCCTCGAATAATTTCAGTCTGTTTCAATGCTTTTTCTTTATTCAGTCTACATGAATCACAAGTTTGAAGCAAACCGTGGTTTATCTCCCTCTAGTTCAGTGTTTAAGACTGTGGAAGTATCTCTTTGTAGCCCAGCTGTGGATGGCATTGGTCCTCGTGTTGGTGGAATTGCTCCTGAAGACATCTGTCGGAAGAGGGACACTCTCTGGGGGACTGTGCCTTTGCTCCCACCCTGGATTCCTGTGCTTTGAAGAGCAGACACTGGCTGTGGAATGGAAGCTAAAGATTCTCCCACTGTTGGATGTGGTCTGGTAATTATAGTAGAAACCTCATGGGGCAAAGAAGGCTGTGAGGCTGACAGGGGCCGTACTTCTCTTGTCAGGCTAGCATTGTGAAGAGTTTGTGTACTCTTATGGATATCACTCTCCTGTGACCCACTGGGCATTTGCTGCAGCTGCTGTGGTTGTTGCAGCTGCTGTGGTTGTTGCAGCAGCTGCTGCTGCTGTAGCAGTGACAACTGTGAAGTAGTAGGCGTTGCATACTGAAAAGTTCGGCCAGCTAAAGGACTCTGTACTGATGGACTACAGATCGCAGAAGGGTAGGAGCATGGTGAGAAAACTACACCCTGTTGAGGTGTCTGTGTGCTCGGTGTTGATGAATTCAAGCTCCCATGGGAGAGGTTGGTCATAGCATAGACAGGTGTTGTCTGTGTCCTCATTTGCATTGATGAAGTGGTAGTTGAAGGGCTTGAATTCAAAGCAGGTGTTTGTGAAAAATTTGTTGGCCCAACAGTCTGTACCATCTCTCGGTCATACTTCACTATCTGTTTCAAAATTTCACTCTCCTGATTGTTGAAAACACCAGTATTGAGATCTTTTTGGAATTTCTGGAGTAGAAGTGAATTCTTCTTTCCTTCAGGGAATGAAATTGACATAACAGACCATGCAAGTTAGCAGCTACTCAACACAGGAATACATTTCTGCTTCTCTATGTCTAAAATTCATCTTTGCATCATGGTAATGATAATGTGTAATAATTATAAGAACAAAAGAAAAGCAACAATTCATTTCTAGCTCTATTCTCCATATAAGCTTAATAACCTTCATTTTCAAGAAGAAATTCTTCAAGATCCCATACTGAAGAGCCCTCCTGGCTTGAAAAAGGCCCATCCAGGATACTGTTTCCCACACTGGCTATCAATGTAACTCAATAAAGTATAACATCTGTTCATGAATACTTTTCTACTTATGGATCCAACAGTGTTCAGTGACAAAGAGTTTCTATTTGGCTATCAAGACTAGAAGCAAAATTTGTCAATCCCTTTCTCTTCTCTTTAGCTTCAATTAATTTAATTTGTTTTTTTTTAATTTACTTAAATGTATTAGCCACCCAACTCCAATGGATGTTTTAAGGGGCAGAATTCATAGCTGTGGGGAAAGCATCATACCGATAAGAATATTGTTATTGTATCACTGAGTGATCTTGCTCTCAGTCACAAAAGCTACATACACATTTTTGAATATGGACAATGTTCGTGTGCAATATGCAGAAATATATTGCAAATACCCTCTGTGATAATTTGGTTGCACCCAATGAACTTTAAGAAGACTCTGGAATAATTGACCAAGACCAATGTGAAGAAATACTTGGAGATTTTGCATTTGTAATTGTGTATGTGTGCTTGCTTGTTTGTTAGTTAATATCCAGATATATTCACAAACCAATAATGACATGTTACCAAAGCTGTAAAAAGGCGAGCAAATGGAGTAACTAGATTTTAAATCTTATAGATATTTTTTCTAATTCTTTGTCAAGCTATCCTAAGTTCTCAAATGCTAAACATGTTAAGTAAATTATAAATGCATGTGACCATTTAACATGTTACTTGAAAGCATTCAACACTGGTAATGAATGACCAACAGATTGAGAGGAGTAATCTTTCCAAACGTATGTGAATAATATGAAAATAGAATATATTATGTAACACCTGACTATAATTTCACTAGTATTAAGTGTTACATACAGGACTGTGTTACATATTTAATCCAATGCCCAAAAATAAATGTCCCACTTCAGTAATTGTTTCTTGTAACTAATATTTTCTGCAAAGCCACAATTATAACAATTGAACATAATTTCATATACTTATATGAATTAGTGGCAATCCCTAACCTTGAAATAATCTGAATATAGACTACTGTTCTGTAATATCACAGAGCTAGAAGTATTTAGAAAGGATACATTCAAATAAACTTGATCAATTGATTTGATAAGGGATCATGAAATGGAGACTTGCCTGAAACTGTGTACTGGATCCTGCCTGCTTTGTTGGGATTCCATTTTGTATGGAAATAATGAAGTCTAACTTTATTAGAGATAGAAGCAGGAATTTGTATATATACTTCCTCTTTATCTGGACTGACCCTGATTAGTACTTGGATAAAAGACCACTAAGAATTCTAGAACCATAACTTAGACTGACAAATCAGTATCAGGAAGACAATGGAAAATCTCTTCTCTACTATGGTCAAGAAAATGGCATGAATGTCCCCATATAGTCACCAGAAGTTGAACTTCACTAATGGGTTATCCTTATCTTTCTCTCTCCATTCATACATTGATCTACATACACACATGATGTCCAAACAACAACAACATCATGACCAGAGTCCTTCGGGAGTGGGGCGGCTTATAAATTTTAAAAATAAAATAAAATAAATGATGATAATGATGGTCATGGTGATGATGATAATGATAATGATGATCATGATGATCTCAGATATAGTTATTTATACCCAATCATTCAAACAAATCAAAATGGAAAACTATAGCCTATTAAATTTCTTGACCTTAAAGAGAAAAAAGAGCTTGATAAAAAATTGAATACCCACCTATCCTGTCTAATCTGTCAATGGCCACTGTTTCAAATGCTCGTCTCATCATTGGATATTCTTCCAAAACTTCATTGAAGTTGTCCACAGAGAGAGAATATAGGCGGCAATATGTGTCTGCTCTCACGCTAGCAGTGCGACGGCCCTTAGTCAAAAGGCAGATCTCTGCAAGAGTTAAAAAGAACATACAAGAAGGAATGCAGAGGAAATATGTCAGAGCAAATTCAAATCCAGTTAAAAAAAATTCTTTCCAGTCTATTCAGTGTCACTCTAGGTTTCCTGGGAGTGTTGGGACTACAACGTGGTGACCAGAAATTGCAATTTTAATGTGTAAAAAAGTTTCTAAATTGCTGTGATCAATGTCAAGTCTTAATATATTGAATATTTAAACTGAATGCTTATAATTTATTAAAGCAAAACATTTCCATGGAATTTAACATCTGTATGAAGTATCTCCATACAATCACAGAAGTTTCTAATTTCCCCCATACATACATTTTTAAAAAACAAACAACTTTTAAGATCCAAATGGAGATTTTCCAAGTTTGCTTGACATATTCTGATGCCCTTGAATGTTCAGCTGCTATAATTTTCTACCTTCCCTAAGATCATCTACCCCTCCAAAAATTCTCAATTGTATCTTTACAAAACAAAAACAACAGGAATAACCTGTGGAATAGGTTGGGACAAGAGACATAGACTGGCCCAAGCTCAAGCAATGAATATGCACGACTAAAGACAGACTTAAAGCTTACTTTCTAATTCTGTGTAACACCCCAACAACTATACCATATGATTCTCAAGATTTTTCTGAAATATTAAATACACTAAATATTTAAAGGCATTAAATACACTCTTTAATATTTAAAGGCATGTGAAGATTTTTCCATTTCTTCCATATATAAAATCTAAGTCATGTTGTCTTATTTCTAAATTCTGCTTCTTTTCCTGTGGAATTTTTAAAATAGCTATATTTACATTTCTACCTACCATATAGAAGCACATTAGGTTTTTACTATACCCAGGGTTTTTTTTGTCATAGAATGCCCAGAACAGAGTTCCGGCACCTTTTTTGGATGGAACCTTATAGGGTAGGCAAGGCGGGTTGTATGACATGTGTGAGTTCCGGCACCTTTTTTTTTCTTTTACAAAAAAAGCACTGACTATACTACAATAAGGAGTTTAATTTGCTGCAGTTCCTGATGAGTTTAACCTACACATATTGGGAATTTGCATCTCATTACACACAAGGATCAGGGTTTTTCCATGTGAATGATAAGAACTGGTTTAATATCATCCAAATGCCAAGTTACTTTGGAAGTTTCTGTATCCATGCATGTTTGTATTATTTAATTTTCGACAGTGTTTTCTTTTCTAGTCCAAATAATGTAATAATTAATAGCTAGCAAAGAAATATGAAGCAGGCAAAACATTTTTTATTATTTTTAGTTTCACTTTAGTCATGGTTAGAAAGCAGCTCCATTTTGCTCACTCAAAATTTCATTTCATTAAAACCGAAGGTGATAGAAGGAAATGTGCAAACCTCTTCAACTTTTTTTAAGGTTCCAGATTATGCATACCAGAAAAAGAGCTCAGAGATATTCTTGTGCCATATCAGCAAAAGAATTGTTCACTTTTTGAGAGAAAAACATTCATACACTTTTAAAAATGTGCTTAGCTAATACCCAACAGTTTTTTCATCAAACCTTAATTTGAGATATGAAAAAGGAAGATAATAAAGCATGTTGATAGTAACTGGGAAGATTACTGAGATCTTATGGAAACTGGATTACCAAAATTCAGAAATTACATCACTTCCTTACTATAAAGGCTAGGGTGTCTCAAGTTTTTTTAAAAAATTCTTGTAGCAAAATTCTGCTCTCTGATCCCTTTAAAAGGATCAGCCTTTACAGAAGTCCATTTTTAGTATCTTCAATAACCAGACATAAAAACCAATAACAAGAAGATAAACATTGCCATGGTTTTAGTATCTAACTTCTTTTTTTCCCTTGAGGCTCAAGTAAAAGACAAAAACATAGAGTTATGTTCTGTTTATAATTATGCATCAATAGTATTCATATCTAGAGATTTCTGTAATTACTTGGTCTTTTTGAAAAATTATTCCCTTTATGATTTTTTAAAGGAAGGCTAATTATTGTTGTAATGAGAGCAACCAAGCTAAAGTCACTCCAGAAATACTAAAACACTGTAAGCCAAACTTCACAAAATAGACTTAGGAGTTAAAGTTAAATGGAACAAGCTTGATTAGTGCTTTTCTTAAAATAGATGGCAATTATGAGATGAGGCATTCGGAAAGCAAATAATCACATGCAGTCATTAAACTATTCATGTATGCGAAGATTCAATAAGAAGACATACATATCTGCAGTCTTCTATAATTCACAAATGAAAATTTTATAAAATGAGAACCCAGGAAAAATGCAGGCTCTATCCACGTAAATTATTCAACAGAAAAATCCCAGAAAGATTTAATGGGATTCAAATTTTAGAAAACGTCACAGAATTGCATGATTTCATATGACCAATTTCCCACCATGCAAAATTCTAATTTACTTACTTACCTATTCAACAATCAACAGTACAAATTCCACTGCTTGAGAAGCATCTTTACTTAATCTAAAAGCTCTTTAGGTAAGACTGCTGAACACTAGCTCTAGCAAAATTTTGGGTAAATCTTCTTTCAGTTAAAATAAGTTTAAAAAGTGGCCCTGGTCCATCAGCAGCACGTGATCTGGTCAAGACCAGATTGTGTAGCAGACTTCTCCCTATGTTGATTTCTCATTCACAATTTTTTTAAGAGAAACTATGGACTGAAAGCAAAATTTAACAGAACAGACCATTTTGGATTTGGGGCCAGAGATTGCGACTTGATTTGGAATATATTGGTCTCTGTAATCTGTAATCCAGTACTATATACTCTATCTATTAGAAGATTTTTCAGATAATGACCTTGTTAAAGACCTTGATTTCAGATTATTCATCTGAAATACTTTTTTTGAATAGAGATGGCTGATATGTAACTTTATTTTTAACTCTCAATTAATACAACTTGATGGTGAACTGCAATTCTTTTCTAAATCAGATTATGAAGAGAGAAAAGACACCATATTTTATTTTACACCTGTCTCCTAAAGACCAAGATGCTTGTGTGCTTTCCTGATCCCAAAGACATACAGATAATTTAAGTGAAATGATGAAACCATCATAGATCAGAAGAAAAATTAGATTCCTTCATTTAAAATCATCTCTATTCAATGAAAGGAGATTTCATAATCCGTGCTGCCACAAAATACATTCATACAGCTGAGGCCAGAAAGAGACACTGTGGCTCCCATTAATATTCTTTAGTATCTACCAGGCTCAGTGCTTGTTCTAAGTTCTTAAAATATATATTTGTATTAAAAAATAAACAAGAACCTACCATGTTGCAATGTAAAGAACTAGGTTTGAGTGTTCAGTTTACATAAATGAATATACCAGGCTTGCAAAAATCCTATCTGAATGGTAAATAACCTTTTTGGGTGAATATAGTTTATTTTGGTAAATGAATATAGTTTGACTGGCCATGCTCACCATGGCAATTATTTTGCAATTAACCAAAACTCTCCCAGCAACCATTTTGTAAGAATGTCCCCAACCTGCTCTCAGAATTTCAATGTGTCCCTAAGAGGCTGTCTAGTCTGGAACTAGACCAGACTCAGTCAATTGAGATAAGGAGAAATGAGCTAAAAGTTTAATTAGAGTGTAAGGACAATGTAAGGGGCCATTGCATTAAAATTTGCTTTACATTCTAAGGACCCATATCCTTTTCATATAAGATTTGAAATATCAGGGTCAGATTCTAAACAAATCCTAAATTTGTTACAGTTTAATTGACTGCATTTTAAGTTGAATACATCTTTGATATGATTATTCCCCATGGACGTAATAATGTCCCCCTTTTGACAGATAAAAATCACAAGTTGTAGCATATTTGTGAGTGGGGGTGGTCCAGATGTCTGTTCTAATGTTTAGGGGGCCTGTTTCCTCAATATAAGGTAATAATATGAGTTGCATCACTCTTTCAATTTGTCCTTGACTCCAGAAATCTTACTGTTAAATAATTGCACATTATATCCCTGAAAAACTGTTTTGAGATTGGTTCCACTCTATGTAAAGCACATTTAATTGAATTTGCTACACAAATTTGAACCAGTAATCTGAACCAGTTATGAGAATTCCTCCTTCATTTCCAATTGCTGTTGCTTTTCCAAGCTGAAATAAAAAAAAATGTTCACTCTTGGAGCAACATAATGCCTAGTTGGCAATGCAACAATGATCCAATTGTTGCCAGATAATTGTCCACATAAAACTACACCTCACGATGTAATTAGTTATCATGCAATGTCACATCAATATTTGATTAAAAACAGAAAATAAATGTTCAGTGAAGAAACATGAAGTCATTTCAAGGGAATGATCTGCCAAATCTTCTGAGCCTTGGCAGATCTGTATTTCCCTGATCTGCTGATGATTGGCATCAAGCCTCCAAAGTAATAAAATTTCCATTCTTCACTTTGAATGGGAAATGGATGTTGAAATAATTTTATGAGCAAGTAGCAACATTCTAGGAGTATCCCTTTCACATCCAATTAAACTTTTACTTTTAACTTTTCATTGATCGAATTAAATGGGGAATAATCATATCAAAAGTATATTCAACTTAAAAATGTAGTCCATTAAATTGTAATAAATTTAGGATTTTTTAGAAGCTAACCCTGTTATTTCAAATCTCATCTGAAAAGTATATGGGGACCTTAGAATGTAAAGCAATTTTTAGTGCACTGCTAATGCACTAATCCCAGGTTTTTTTTAAGTAAGGTGGCTAGCTGGATTTGATTTCCCTTTGTGATGTTTCTAAAATAAATTCAAATAATCAGTACAAATTCTACAGGAATATTCTAAATTACAAGCAAGTAAGCCTATAAAAAATACTGAAGAACTTGACTATTGGACACAGATCACAAGCTTTTACTACAGATCTGGACAAAAGTTGTCTACACTCCAACATTCCATTTTTGTAGAAAGTTAATAAAGCTAGGTTGTAATTTCAGAGAGTTCTAGAGGAAGCACCTTAACTGGATGGTTTTCAGTCAGATTTCAGGTTCCATTTTTGAATGGAGATTATATTGATTGCAACTGATGACTTCTAGGGGACCTGGGATTGGAGTATTGAGTATCCTTGTTCTTCTTGATTTCTTGAGGTTTTTCTATATCAACAATCATGCTATTCTTTTTGCCTGATTGCAGAAATTGGGAATGGAGAGTATAGTATTCTGATGGTTCTATAGCTGGTTCCAGGCAGTGTTGATAGAAGGGAAGAGATTAAGAGTCTGTGAGTTTCCTTCTTCCAACATAGAGTAGAAACTGCTCAACCATCTAAATTTCCATGGGTAACATTTATCATTTTAAAATGTTAGAGAAATCATTGTGAAAGGTTAAGAAAATAACAGGTATTTTACTGCTTTGTATTTAATTTTTTTTAATTAAGCACCTTATCAAATGAATTATGTTTGTGATGAATGTTATTGATCATTACTTCTAATATCTTGTTATCCATCCAGAATCTCTCTGGCAAGTGGGTAACTTATATGAAATCAGACTGATTCATATGTTATTATGTTAGTTTAGCTATATTTTATAGCCTAAAGTACTCCAAATTGAATCAGGTCTAACTGAGAGTTTTAGAATAAATTGATCTAGAAGTCTGGACTGAGTCAAATCAATCTTCTGAGTGGATTAAAATGTTTGAAACAAACTGGATCCATTTTTCAAACCAATTTGACTACTCAGATTAAGCATGATTTATACATACCACCTTCAGCTATTCTTTTCTGGGTGGGAGAAACACATAGATGTCTCTCTGTATATGTGAGAGAGAATGAACTGAGGTAAAAACAGTCCTATTTGCTCTTTAAACTTTCTCCCCTTCGAGGATGTTTTCTGCTGTAAAAAATGGCCAGGTAAAAGATACATGTGATTACATGTCGTGTACCTATAAATGAAACGGCAGGAAATGTCATAGAAGAATTGCAGGCTGTATCCGAGGCACTCTGTGGTTGTAAAAATAGAATCTATTGCTTGCTTGCTGATAAAAATTGCTATTCAATAGAGTCCCAAATTAATGTGTTTAAAATTACACATCTTTTAGTTAATAAACACAAGAGTATACTCTCAAATAGAAATATCAGGGATTTAAATTAGCAGGAAGTAAATGGTTTTGATAAAGTATAAGCATGAGAGGAATCAAATGTGCTTCCATGGTGTTATTATCACCATTTTTCTTGTACAAGTCCCCATTACTCTAATCTACTCTAATCCTGAAGGTCCTATAACTTCTCAGAGATATTGAGCATATATAGGAGAAATGGAATTGCAGTTTCTTGTTTCACTGACTGAAGCAATTGTTAGTGATATGACTCACTTGAACTCATTGAGAAGCAAAAATATTGCATCATACATTTTGATAGATTAAAATTATTTCTGTGAGATGCTGATAAATTACTCTTTAGTTGGAGGAGAAATGTGCTCACTCTTGTATCATATCCAGGATTAAATTAGGCAGTTGGATATAAGGAAATATGGACATGGGAGTACAGATTCCTCTGCAGTACATGAGATAATGTTGAAAATCATGAAGAAATATATAGCTATTATAGGCTGAATACCACAGAAATAACTTCATGTCAGTTTAAAATTTTTATTGTATACACATGCAAGTCTGTGTCTATCCATATGCTTTTTAATGAGCTTTCAACCAATGGGAAATCAAAAGAATATACATGCTTAGTTTATTTGGTGCTAGGATAGGGACTAATTAGGAGCCAAAACAACACAGTATATGAATGGGAGCTGGGCGGCAGATAATGGCATATGCATGGTCATCGAAAGAGTATATCAAAAACTCCCAGAAAAAGCTGTTTATGATAGTTTTGAATTATTGTTATGTTGCTATCATCGTGCTTTATGGTGAAAGAAAAAGAAGAAATGCCAAATAGACATATGTTAGTGTCTTTATAGTTTTTGTAAACCAATTCATGTTCAAAAAACCTACATTCAGTCTCTGCATTTTTACCAACCCAAAACTTCCATTGTGCTCACCTCCAAAATAGGAGCCATCAGTCAACTTCATCTCTTTACTGGATTTAGTGATAACACCAGCAACCCCATGTTGAATGAAATACATCTTTTTCCCCACAGCCCCTTCTCGGATAATGTAATCTCCAGGTTGAAACACTTCAAACCGCAACTTGCTCAGCATGGCTGTTACAAAATTTGGGTCAGCATTGGCGAACAGAGGCATGGTGGCAACAAGTTTACGACAGTTAAAGTTGACAATCTCCTAAAATGAAAAAAAAAAAAGATAATTGGTATGATGACAAAGGCAGCTTGGTAGAATATAGGAAAGGAAGAAGTGAATTATTATCCTACTCATTGATGATGTGGAGGGAAAAGGGGGAAGAGATGCTGCCTAGGAAAAAAAACCAGACAAGAGAAGCAGGAGCCACCAGTGGTCAGAGAAAGAAATTTAGAAACAACCTACCCCAATTGCTGAGATAGTTAAAAGTGGCAAGTTTGTACCTTCAGCTGTATTGCAAGATTCTGTTAATGTAGCCTTACAATAAAAGTAGAATTAGTTAATCTAGTCATATCTCCTTGTTTGGTTTACCTGGGAAGGCTGACAGGTAAAGAGTCTATCTCTCCAGCCACTAAAGCTCAAAACCTCAATAGAACAAATTTTAGAATAAAAGTGCATTGGAATGTATCTGCATTTTTATAGAATAATGTATAGAATAACTAAGATTGATTATTACAATTTGGATATTTTTCATTTCTTCAACTTTTGTCCCAGGATATAGTCATATAAGACATTTAAAAAGTAATTTTCTATAGCAGGGCTTCTTGGTAACAGAAAATCTGCAATCATTTTCTCCTCCTGTATCAACAAAAATAACTATAAAAAGGATAATTGCTCTAGGATTCAGGAGTCATACTGAACTCCAGCCGTAATAAGTTATTATGAGACAAAGCAAGGGAGGGCCAACAATATGGCCTGGCTTGAACTCCTGGAGGAATAGTAAATTAAAAATATTTAAAAAAGCTTTACTAACCAAGTAAATAAAAGAGACACCACAGCGTAACTCATTTTGGCATTTCCACAATGAACTTCCATGTACAATTTTGTTTCTTGCTTCTATTTTTAAAAATACTGTTCATACACAAGAAAACACAATTTTCCTGTGATAAACAGTATTATTGTTTTAAAAGGCTTAATACAGTGTAATTTTAAAGATAAATCTCTTTTATATCACTTAAATAAATTTCTGAGTGAATATACTTCAATTGCACAGAAGTATGTGAACATATCTGCATGAACTATTGTAAGAATTCCTACTAGATGTTTTTCTCCCCCCCCCACACTTGATCTAATCAATTTCTTTTTGAAAACAATGTCCTAAGCCAAAAATTACTTTTATGAATAATAATATAATTCTCCAGCATCTTGTCACTTATTTCCTTTGGAAGTTTTTCGCATAGGTAACACACTTTGGTTTTTATAGAAATAGTCACTCTTGCTAATGATCGATTGATCAAGGGCATTTGATTAGCAGCACCTGGCTGCTATTTAGCCTCTTCATGCCACCTATGGAAGCAGTAAGGGTCTACTTATTTTTTCACATATGGCTTCCTTCTCCATTTTGGATTTTTTTTTCAAAATAAATGATGACATGGTGTGTGTTGTTCATCTGAAGTTATATTTTTCTACTTTTAAGAACTGCTAAGGACCAGATGATTTTTATATCATACATAAAATCACAGAACTCAAAGAGGGTTGAGCATGGTTTTCTTTTTTATGTGACTCAAAATTTCTACTTACAGTGTACTATAATTCCCATATCCTTAGGGGACAGAGTCAGTAATAAGGGATAGTAGTGGTTGTAATATCTTGAGTTTCATGCATTATTTCTTTCTTTCATAGATATTGTTGTGTCCTGAGCCTGTGAAGGCAGGCTCGGGATGTTGCAACGGTCCCGGACAGTTGCAAGCTGCCTGGGACCAGACTGGCTGTCGCCAGCACTCGTGCGCATGCGCGAAGTGCAAGCGCGCCAAATGTTGCCATTTGGCCCGGGGATCGCCTTTAAAAGGGGCAGAGGAACTTGGGCGTTGTCGGCGTTGTAACCAGCATGCTGTATACCAATAAAGAGGCTCCTGAGAACTACCACCTGCTTCATGCGTTATTTGCCATTTGCTGAGGACTTAACACCGGCGACGAAGGTGGGATGCCTTACCACGATTGCAGACAAGTTGTAAGCTTACCCTGGAGTCCTGAGCAGCAGGAAACGGCGTTAAACTCAGCAGCTGCCTGCCAATTCAGCAAGCGTTGGGGGTAAGCTGGCTGATAGACCCTTCCTGTACTACTGAAAGATGGCAAAAGTAGGTAGACTTTCCGAATTCGATGTCACGCATCTAGAAAGATGGGAGTCTTACGTGGCCAGAGTAGAAAACTATCTTAAGGTCAATCAAGTGAGAGAAGATAGCTTAAAAGCCGCCACCCTGCTGTGCGTTTGCGGTCAAGATGCATTTGAGATTGCTGAAAACCTAGCAGCACCTGCACCTCTAGAATCTGTTACCTACACAGACTTAAAGAAATTGCTAAAGGAACACTTCCAGCCCAAGTTGTCTGTCATCGCTTGGCGCCACACTTTTGAACAGAGGGACCAACGGCCCGGCGAATCAGCTAAAGAGTACATTGCTGCATTGAGAAAAGCCGCTAAACCCTGCGAGTTTAAAGATTTAGAAGAAAGGCTGAGAGACAGATTTGTATGTGGACTGAGACATAGAGAATTGCAGCAGAGACTTTTCGCTAAAGAAGACTTATCATTCCAAGATGCCTTGAGAGAGGTTACTGCAGAAGAGGCAGCAGGTGGCACAATCAAGAACATGAGGCCGATCAGAAGTACTCCAGAAGCTGTGTCCATGCACCAGGAAGGAGTCCAAGGGAGCTCAGAAGAGGATCCTGATGAAGAAGTAGACCGTCTCTACCCAACAAAAGAAGGGAAGCAGAAGGAAGGCAAGGAAAGTTCTTCAGCTGTCCCCAAATGCTTCGGATGTGGAGGTCGTCACAAGAGGACCGACTGCAGATTTCACTCTGCTATCTGTAGAGCATGCGGAAAGCAAGGCCACATTGCAGCTGTGTGTCTGGGCCGTCAGAAGGTACAACCCTGAGAAAAATTGCGCCTGAAAGGTACCAGGGTCCCCAGCCAAAACAGGGTGGGTTTCTGTGCTTCGCGAAGAAGCATCTATAGGACAGGCACACACAAGCCCATTAAGAAAAAACTGTCACTTAAAGTGAAGTTACAAGGGGTTCCATTGGTCATGGAACTGGACACTGGGTCTGCACTTTCAATCATTTCCATACATACATTCAGAAAGATTTGTTCTGACAGTGGATTTCAGGCCAAGCTTAGGCCTTCTGACATTGTGTTAACAGACTTTCAAAACTCCAGAGTGTGTGTTAAGGGGGAGGCCACCCTTAACGTACAGTATAAGGATTTTGAAGGTCCATTAGATGTATTGGTAGTAGGGGGTGAGCAAACGAGTCTCATAGGACTCGATTGGTTTGAGGCCTTGGGAATACATATCACAGGGCTCAATACCTTGCAAACAGTAGACCTACAGGAAGTCTGCAAAGAATTTGCAGATGTCTTCAGTCCACAGCTGGGCACATACAAAGGACCCCCTGTGTCTTTAAAACTAGACCTCACTGTCATTCCTATTGGAATAAAAGCAAGAAGGGTCCCTTTTGCTCTAAAAGGGAAAATTGACACTGAATTGGACAAATTGATTCAGCAAGGAGTCTTAGAACCTGTTGACTCCAGTCCTTGGGAGACCCCCATTGTCATGCCTCTTAAGGCTAATGGGGACATTCGCATCTGTGCAGATTACAAATGCACTCTGAATAAGGCATTTCAGCAACATGCCTATCCTGTACCTGTGGTCAGTCATATTCTGGCCTCCCTCAAGGGGGGCCCTGTTTTTGCAAAGCTTGACTTAGCTCAGGTGTATCAACAGTTGCCTGTTGACGATGCTGCTGCTGTGGCTCAAACCATTGTAACCCACAGGGGGGCATTCAAGGTAAAGAGGCTACAATTTGGAATAAATGTGGCTCCTGGAATTTTCCAAAGCATAATGGAAGACACACTGAGGGGTATACCAGGGGTTTGCCCCTATTTTGATGATGTCTTAATTTCTGGAGACTCTACACACAACTTAGCTGAGAGATTAAGGGCTGTTCTGCTGAGGTTCCGGAAAACGGGCCTCAAGAAGGACAAATGTAAAATTGGGGTGCCTTCTACAGATTTTCTGGGATTCAAAATCGATGCTACTGGGATTCACCCTGCTGAGTCCAAATTAAAAGCTATAATGCATGCTCCTAGGCCAAAGTCCAAGGCTGAACTACAGGCCTTTCTGGGCCTTTTGAACTTCTACAACTCCTTCCTTCCAAACAAGGCTAATGTAGCCGAACCACTTCATAGGCTCCTGGACAAACAGGCAGTGTGGCAGTGGTCACAAAAACATGAAGCAAGTTTCAATGAGGTTAAGGCCTTACTCACTTCTAACAGTGTGCTTGCACACTTCAATGAGTCCCTTCCTGTGTGCATTGCTTGTGATGCTTCTCCTTATGGGGTGGGAGCAGTACTAAGCCACCTCAGACCGGATGGAACTCAGGTTCCTGTTGCATATTATTCCAGAACCTTGTCTTCTGCAGAGCGAAATTATGCTCAAATAGACAGGGAGGCTTTAGCTGTTGTTGCTGGAATCAAAAAGTTCCATGCTTTCTTGTATGGCCGACATTTCACGGTCTTCACTGACCATAAGGACTAGGGTCTTAGGTTACCTCCACGAGGGTCATCCTGGCATTGTACGTATGAAGGCGCTTGCGCGCAGCCATTTGTGGTGGCCTGGGTTAGACAAGGACATTGAAGCTAAGGTGCATGCATGCCACCTTTGTCAACGCTCACACCCAGAAATGCCCCAGGCTCCTGTGCATAGATGGGAGGAAACACAGTCTCCATGGTCTAGGGTGCACATTGATTACGCTGGGCCCTTTCAGGGTCAATTCTTCTTGGTCCTGGTTGATAGCCATTCGAAATGGCTTGAGGTTGTACCTGTCTCTTCCACCACCACTGCAAAGACTATTCAAGTATGGAGGGGGATTTTTGCTGCATATGGGCTTCCTGATGTTTTAGTGTCTGACAATGGCCCTCAATTCACTTCCTCCGAATTCCAAGCTTTCTTACATGCCAACATGATTCGTCATGCCACCTCTGCACCCTTCCA